CCCCGCCCCGCCTCCCTCAACGGCGTCACTCCATTGGCCAATACGGACTCACGTGCCCTAACGCTCCGCAGCGTCGCCCCGCCCACTGCGCGGACGGTCCCCACCCCCTCGATGCCTGTCGGCTCGTGTGCGGATGAGTTGCCCGGGTCTGAAGGGTTTGGTGGGGCCAGCAGGAAGGAAGCTGCTGAAGAGAGAGGGGCGTATGGATACGACGGAGGTGATAAAGGCGCATCCGCTGAGTCTGGGCGGGGCGGAGAGCAGAGGACAGTGAGAAGCGGAAGTACACATGTGAAACTTATGGTAACTATTCAGCAGCCGTCCAGGCACGAAAAGCACTGTCCCGAAAGCCGCGTCGCGGCTACGTTTCTGTAGAGATGGGGCGCGAGCGGCGGTTTCCTTTGGCCATTAGGCCCCGCCCACGAGGGCAATGCTGCTGGCTCTAGGGTGGACTCCGCCCACCGCATGCCTCGGGGGCGTGACCCATTGAGACCCCGCCTACAGACCCCACTCCTCTCCCTTCGTTCCCGCCCACGCAGGCAAAGGCGCTCTCTCCAGAACAGGCTCCACCCACCGCGGTCCTCATAACCCCACGTGCAGAGGTTCATGCACGACCCACCCACAAGACCACCCCCGCATCCCCATCGTAGGCACCTCCCGTCTGGGGGGTGGGGGATAGGATCCACCGAGACAGCGCCCATTTGCTGCGCGCGCTCTGAGGCATCTACCTGCATGCCCCGCCCATCGGCCCTGCCCACCGGAGCCCGCATCTTTGTCGCCTCCACTAAAACTGGGCGACCCTGCACCTTTGACACTTTTATTCTTTAATTTGCAGTGGTCTGTGAGAAAATGCATGGACTAGGAATCACTTCATTCTCTCCCTTGTCTGATAGGTCTTTATGAGGGAAGAAGCTTAGCTTTCTCATTCCCTACTTCTACAATCCTTTTTGAAGTTGCTAATGCCCCATATCCTATATTGATGGAGCTCACTAGGAAGTAGGGCTCTGGAGTGAACTGTTTTAAGTGCGAGACACATTAAATGCTCACTCGGATGATTTAGGAGCTGCCGTTGTCTAACCGAGGGCCTTGAGCATGCTACACAAATGCCAGACCCTTCAGCTACATCACCAGCCTAAGGCACTGATTTTTCACTGAAAAATCAATGTGTTCTCTTAACCCTTGTTTTCTGCATTTGAAAATACCAAGCAAAGCATTTTTGGTTGTTCTCACCAGAACTCTGTGCGGGGCAAACAAACAAGAAAGATCAAAACGTGCTGTAGGAGGTTCTGAGAGTAAGTTTTGTCCGCAGGTGTCTGACTATGCACCTAAATGAAAGTAATCTGGAGGTCGGCATGGCAAGCTGGACAGGTTTTTTTTTGCAGAAGAAATCATGATTACTCTCTTAAGTGGACTAAAAATTTCTCTAAAATAAAGAAAAAACAGTGCCCCTAATTAATTTTGTATTTTAAAAATAAATGCAAGAAGTCTGGACTTTTTGGAGAGAAGTCAATGCTGCCAACATCCTGGTTACTACTGTGCATGATCCGGGGTTGCCCATCCTTGATCCACTTGACAGACATTTGCTGTACATCCACGTTGCAAAGCACTGCACAAAAAGTTCCTTGTTTAGCAATGTGTCTGTCTCCCCTGTCTTCTGGTAATTTGCATGTCTGGATGGAAACAAGAAACCCTGTATCAGCCCCCAGAGCATGTGACAAGTCTGCAAGGAAAAGGTGGGGATGGTCTAGCTGGGGACACAGTGAGGTGCAGGATGTTTTGATGCTGGAGAGGAGATGGGAAGGACAATCTGATCTAGATAGGAGTGGCTTGCTGGGGAGCTGGACTTGTCTTCCAGTGCAGCGAGGATGCTGAAAGCATGTTTAGCTGGAAATGAACATCTCCTCATGTCCACAAGATGAAAACATGTCATCCTACTGGGAAGTTCTTTAAACAGAAGGAAACTCCTAAAACTGATCCAATTCACTAGGTCCCTCCCTGCCAGAGTGAGCAATAAAAGCAAGAGTTCTCCTCAGAGGGGAGGAAGCTAAGCTGCAAAGACTCATAGGAAAGAAGACTCACAGACCAGACTGTGCCTGGAAGAGGTTAAGACTGCCTGAGGCATCTGGAAGGGACTCTCCAACCTGTTGAGCTGTCTGCAGACTGTGCAGTGTGCTCCAGGTTCCCAGCTTTGTGAGCTGTCAGCATGCTGGAATGGGCTTTGGTAATGCAGCTGTCTTTGAGTTATTTCTGCACCTGTATGTAACCCCTCACCCATACTCCTGTAAGCAATCCCAATAAAACGCCATGGTTCACAAAGTTGGAATTTGGACATACCTGTACTTTGGTCTGTCGTGAGTTTTGGTCTGGGGTAACTAGACGTGTGTGTTGCATCTCCCCAGGAAAAGTTTCGTCACACAACATAACTGGCACCTGAACAGGGACATGACAGAACCAGAGATGGGTTGGGAAGGAGTGAGTCCATGGTCCTGGCTATGGATCTCAAGTCATGCACCTGAGGCAGAGAAGTCTGAGGGGAACATCCACAGGAAATTCAGATGCAGGTGACTGTTCCTGTATGGTATTTTAGTACGCCTTTGTGCTATGGCAGCAGCTTCATAGTTCTTACTGTGGGAAGTGAGACAGTCTACTGAGGCTTAGCCGTCAGAATTAGGAGTATCTGTGGCAGGGAATCCAGGATGGCAGTTTTCATCTGTGTGTTATGGTCTGGTGGCTTGCAGGGGGACACCATGTGAATACAGAGATTCTCTGAAAACAGTTAAAGGTTTAGAGGAAGTCTCGAAGTCTTTGAAATTAGCACAGAAGGGTTGAGACTGCAGGCAAGCAGAGGCAGAGGTTGCCTGGCCCCTCTTGGATGCAGTTAAAAATGCATCTACGGCTAAGATGGTTGCCAACCTGGTACTTGTTGGTGTAAAGCAAGAACTTGTTTGTACAAAGGAGCAATTGCAACAAGAAAGGTAGATATGAAGCATCCATTGTATTAGCAAGTAAGCTAGCTAAATGGGGAGATGAGAGGGAGAGGTGGAAAAAGCAGTAGAAGATACTCATCAAGTGCCAGCTTTACAGCTTTAGGAGAAAATTAGGGGAAATCTGTGGTCTAACATACAGATGGGGTCTTTACAATGGTCTGGTACGAAAACCAACCAAACAAACAAACAAAGATGATCATGAAATACTCAGCACTGAAACTAGGAAAGACTTAAATAGGCAGCGAAAGAAAGATCCTGTCTCAGCCTGGCATGTGAGGCTGTGGGACATGGGAGTGACTGCTGTGGAGGTAGGAACACAGTGATATAACCACCCATCCTTACCCAACTGTAACCTGAGACAGTGTGAGAGAAACCCATCCCTGATGGGCTAGCTTAAAAAGCCATTAGGAATACTTGGTTATCTCCATCTGAGGTCCCCACAAATATCGAGGACCATAGAGGAGGGGCAGATGTTACTGAGGAAACTGGAAATAAGAGAAGCTGTGTTTGAACCCCAGTTCACTGGGCCAGATAAAATCATGTTCACAGAGGAGTCAAAAGGTTGACCCAGCAGGGACCTTGAGGCTGGTGTGGAGCTTTGGTGGTTTTGCTGAGTCCCTTTAGTGGGGAAAGATGTTTATAAAGTAGGAAAAGCTTCGGCCGATCTCCGTGACTTAGACCAGCACGTAAAGAGTGTCCGTAAAGCGAGAGAGCAGCCTAGAGGAGATAAGAAAAGGTAAAGCAGAGAAGGAAGTCTGTCTGAGGGGTCAAAGAGAAATGTGGCAGCATTTGTGTTGAGCTGGAGTTCCTAAGAAAATAATTGATAGAAAGCCAGATTGGGTGCTAGGGGGCTTTGGGGGGCCTTAAAAGTCTTGAGTAGAAGTTCACAGAAGACATCCGTGGTAGAAGAATACAGGTAAAGACGACTAAGTCAGCCATTGGGGTGGATAATTACCCCCAAAATATGAAGGATACACCCCCCCCCAGCAGGTTATGCTAGAGGTAGAGTTAGTTTGCCCAGCCAGGGTATGGTGAGCGGGAGGCAGCTACTACAGTGCCAGCTGAAGGCCTGTCCAACCTAGGCTGCCAGCAGGTCCAGTAGGGGAGAGCAGGACCACTTCCCCCTTGGCCCTGGGCAGTTGGTCTGAGCAGAAGTCAGGTGTGGGGAGATGTAGGGAGGTTCTGTGCTAGAGCTCCAGGATATGGAAACACAATGGCTCAGAGAAGATGAACAGGGATCACAAGGAGCTAAGACAGCACCTCCTCTCGATGCTTTGTACCCAATCTCGACTGGTGGAGAAAGCAACTAATACAAATGGATGGAACCTTTCTGTGCTGTAGTAGACCTTGCTTCTGTTTGACTTTAGCATCTTCTTAGTTGTGAACCTCTGGGTCGCCTGACCCCTACTGAGAACGGATAACAACAGGCTTTCAGAGTACTTTACCAAGGCTAGCTTTGATACGGAATGGCAGTTTGGGATGTTGCCTTGCCCCGCCCAGCCTCTGGACAAGGTTCTGTTACCCAGGTGACAGAAGGCTAACCTCTGAGTGTTTTGCAGGCCTGGAAAACTAGTGGAGAGACAAACAGGTATACACAATGGTACTTCCACTCACCCTACAATCCCACTCAGGCTGGCTTAATTGAAAGGAAAAGTGGGTTGTTAAAAGAACAGCTACAGAGTTTAAATCCAAAAGCTGTACCTGACGTAGGTGGAAAAGGAAGCTCCCAGAAGCCATAAGGTTATTGAATGAAAACCCCAGTGCCAGGGATGGGCTGCCTCCTTGTGAGTTGTCTAGGGAAGCTCTTAAGGCCCCACAACCCATAAAGGCTGTTTCTACTGCTGTTGGTTGTTTTCCAGAACTAGACTGTAAGACACTTGCTGAAGACACCGTATGTGCATGATGTAACTGTTGGACATGCAGACATTAAGCTGGGACTGAATCATAAACTCCTGTTCTGCTGCTGGCTTTCCTAGTGCCAGAAGGGGACATGCAGGCTGCTGGTGGAGACCTGTCACCAACATTACCACTCGGCTATGAACCCTGCGTGCTGAAATACTGACATGCTAGGCAGGATGTGCCTGCTGGTGTAATTGTGTCTTGGCTGTGTGGATAAGACCAACAGCCTTCCAACTGGATTTAAGTCCCACTTCACGAAAGAGAGTTCATGTCTAATACCGTAAGCCAGGATAAAAGCCTGTGGCTGGGGAGGTCGTAGATCCCACTGGGGAAGAAGCTTGTGTGGTTTCCTAGATGGATGTGATGGGTCTGTGTTAGACACGTGTGTTTATGCCTGTTGATCACAGTTGTTACAGCCTCAATTCATGAGCACTGGTGAAGGTCCTGAGCACACGTGACTTACTGTGGCATGGTGCTCAGTCATAGGTGGGCGTCGGTAGTCACCCCTTCAAGGCTCAGGGATCCTTGCTCAAAGGGGTCAGGGTGGAAAAAATTTAAGAGCTGGAGAAAAGGATAGAGTAATTCTCCAGAGATTGAAATATTAAGTCTCTTTAACAGGAAGGTAGCTGAAGTGTGTGCGGGGTGGTGGTGGGGGGGAGTGGGGGTTGCACACCTTTATTCCTAGCATTTGGGAGGCAGAGGCAAGTGGATCGCTGTGAGTTTGAGGTCAGCATTGTCTACAAAGCGAGTTCCAGGACAGGGCTACACAAAGAGACCCTGAGGGTTGGGGAGGGGGTGGACCAAAAACCAAAACAAAAAACCTAAACAAAATAAAACCCAGAAGGTAAATAACTCAAAGTAGCTTCAGGAAGTCTCTGAAACTGACTAGATTTACTAGGTCCCTCCCTGCTAGGGTAAGCAATAAAAGCTGAGAACCCCCACCCCCACCCCAGAGGGAAGGGAGATGAGTGGCAAAGGTGACATCAGACCTAGAAGAAGCAGAAAACTAACTGAAGGGCCTGGAAAGGACACTCCAACCTATTGAGCTCCCTTCTCACTGTGCAGTGTGCTCCAGGTTCTAAGATTTGTTAACTGTCACCCGTGCTGGGGTGGCTTTGATGCAGCTGTCTGAGTCATTTCTACTCCTCCTGTAAGTGACCCCAGTAAAATACATTTCACCAAGTTTTGTGTGGGTTACAGTGGCCCACTGGGGTGGATAGATGTGTGGGTTACAGTGGCCCACTGGGGTGGATAGATGTGTGGGTTACAGTGGCCCACTGGGGTGGATAGACGTGTGGGTTACATTTTCCCAGGAAAAAGTTTTGTCACAACACTCGTTTGCATTGTTGAAGATGTCTGTGACGAGGGTGTGGAAAGGGGTGTAGGACAAGGGTCAAGGCAAGGTCAGAGGAAGGCTGGCGCATAATTAGGGTGAGGCACCTCTGGTAACAGGCAGTAATGAGGATCACAGATGCCTCCCTGAGGTCCTGCTTAGGCGGCAGGGAAGCAGAATGTAGGAGTGAAAGGGCAGCGGTCAGCTTGCACTTCTGTACTGTGGTGGACAGTGGACAGATGGAGGTCTTCAAGGCACAGGAGCCCGTGCAACATCAGAGTTGGCAGTTGGAAATATCACTTAGAAATATCGCCTAGAGGTCGAGTCACATGCCATGCTAGAGGCACTTGATCAGATCTGAGTTTAAGGGTGAGCACAGGAACAAGATAGCAGACATGCTGCCGACTTCCATACAATGACCTCGGAACCCCGGTAAGTAGTCAGGGCGCCTGAGTTCGACAATACCATCCAGCACACGTGTGCCTCACTGGTCATTGCTTTTTATTTGCCCACATAGAAGGGTCCAGCCCATGACCCAGTAAGCTGACAGTCTCAGAGGACACTGGGTGTTGCAGTGTGCTGGGGCCACAGCCTTTGTTGAATTGCTTAAGATTCACATGGCAAGATTGAGGGCAGTTTGAGCTACACGAGACCCCGCCTCAGTAAAAGGGGGGTGAGGCTGGGCTGGAAAGATAACTCAGTAAAGCGCTTGTCTCATATGCCTGACAACTGAATCTGGCCCCTAGAACTCACAGCAGTGTGGAAGGAGAGAACCAGCTCCACAGTTTTCTTCCTTAGGCACAGCACGGCACTTGTTCAAATCTCCACACACACATCATGCACATACACAATAACAATGAATAGAACGATGAGAGAGCGATAAAGGAATGTAGCCAACATCAGCCTCTGTACCCTGCCACATACAGACCCATGTACTTATCTGCATGCACACAGGCACACATCAACACACACATGTACCGCACACAGAGGATTTGAAATGGGCTATCAAGGGAGAATACCGAGTGTGGGTGTGTGCACGTGGGAGAGCACACACAGTGTACTTAGGTGCTCGTGTCTGTGTGAGTGTGCTCACCTCTGAGGGATACTTCTTCTGGGAT